CACACAATCATTACCAAAAGCACCCTTTTCATTAAGTAGCTTAAGTCCCTTGACTCCTACGTGAGCAAGCCTATTGTGCCATGTGTGTGTGATCAATCTTGACAGAGGAGATAGAGGAATTCATATCTCTAACCACTTCCCCAGTAGTAATGTATATATCGTTTTTCTTAATTCCCTTAATGGAAACTAAAGCACCCTTGATCATTTTTAGCATACGGTTCATAAGAAAATGGATTATGTTGTCTCGTTAATTGTGTCGATGTGCTAATCAATCATTAGGCCGAGGCCGATTGATAATAAACAACCGAGGTTACATCATCGCCCGAGGAGGTCGTTTGACAACAAAATTGCCTAACATGTTGACTGTATAGATTTGCCGAATTAATGATGTTCCATTGATATAGTTTCCCCCAGCTTACAAGATTATATTTTCTTAGCTTGGAGCTTCCACAACTGCTGCAATGGTTATTGAGTTTGTTATCCTAAATTACGACTCTCAGTATGTATAGTTTCCATACCATATGAGAAAGTAACTTTGTTGCTAGTTTAAAGCGTGCACAGTTATTGTATGCTGGTGACTCTCTCATCACACAGATAACTTTTGGGAATTGCCCTCTCTAAGAATGAAAAAAATATATTTCTCCGTTCTTCTTTTGACCAAATAAATATAATCATAAAATTTTAGTGTATATTTTGTACGTAATTATAGATATTATAATAAAATGAATTTATTTTTAGATTAAACTATTTTATAATTCTCGACCTCGAGCTTATTGTTGGAATAGAATATTCGTGTGTTCAATAATTTTAAAGATGTGTCAACATGGAATGCATAGGAAATGTTCATGTCCACACAAAGATCAGTCTTCTAGGCATTGTCTCCTATTTTCTTCAATACTTAAAATGAATTAATCTTCTTATCTTTTAGTTGAACAGTTAGGCATACTATTGAAAGCAAATTTAATTTGTGTTAAAGCTACATCCAAATGCTTAGAGTCATCACTACAAACACATCGCATCATGTTACCATGTACGATAAGCCACCTTGGTCTGGCCATCAGTTTGTGGATGACTAATATTGCTATATTTTAAGTATCAAATTCTTCCAAAGTGTCTTCTAGAAATCACTTAGAAATTTGATATTGCTATTGGAAATAATAGAAGTAGGAACACCATAAAGATGAATAACATTCTTGAAAATAAATGAGCTACATGAGAGTTATTTGACGTTCTCTTGCAAGGAATAAACTGCATCATTCCGGAGAACCGAACGATTGCAAAAATAGAATTGTATCCATATTAAGTCTGAGGGAGTCCAATACCAAAATCCCTGGTCATATCCTTCCAAATTATCTTCGGAATAGATAAAGGTCAGCATTTCATGCTTGGCCTTGGCCTTTAGCCCGTTGTCATATAGGGCAATGTCTAACAAATCGACGAACGTCTTTTTTGAGTGGATGCCAAAACATCATTCTTCTATCTGGCTTATTTTTTTTATCTAACGACCAACATGGACGTCGGTCCTCCAACATTTCGTTCTTGAATTAAATATTCTTGTGAAAGCAGGGAATACAAAGTCAATTGCCTTTCAACAAAAATTCCTAATCACCAGTAGCGCCTGAAGTTCTACATTTGGCCCAAAAATTATTGCAACAAAAAATACGTCTAGCAGATAACTAGTCCCACAATAATTTTGATCACTAAGAATTACAAAACTGATTTTAAACCCAAAACAAATACTCAATCAAAAAGATCAATTAAGAGCACATAACCCTAATTCTAACACAAGCAATGGTTGCCAAGCAATGACAACCCCCAACCTATTGTCACCCCACACGGTGACGCGCTAATGCTGAAAAATTAACGGGTTAAGCCAATTTACCAGAGCGGACGTGTCTGAGTCCGTATTATCGAGAGAGATGCGAATCTACTGCTTTAGGACCACAATCTTGGCCTAAAGTGATTCAGTAGATATATGCAGATTCAACCGTCGATCCACCGGGGGCAAAATTGTCCAACTTTTTCTGTATAACCTGTAACAGAAAATAAACAGTGTCAGTACGTTCAGGAGAATAAAATAAGCAAACTGCTCGAAGGAAGCTCGCCCGGAACCGCCGCCACGCGCCGCCGCCACCGCCACGCGCCACAGCCGAGGGAGCGCCTCAGCCTGCTGAACCTGGATATGGGTTCGGTTTCGCCGAAAAGTGGCTGGATTGGCCGGAAATCAAGGTTGCAGCCGCGGTTCCTCAACCCCAAAACGCGATTGCCGTCGGTTTTTTGTCAAATTTCAGGCCGGGAAAGCTTCAACTAGCTCTGATACCACCTGTAGGACCGAATTCCACACCAAGCAGTGCAAAATCGGGCTCAGTTTACCAAAAACATCGACACCATTT